TTCCCCCAGCTTGAGAAATGCTGAGTGTGTTCTTCCTTTTTGGTTTTTGGATTCCAGATCTTTGCACTTTTTGTTGTAATATTTGACTTTATCTTCTAGAGCTGATCTTTGAAATTTTCTGTTCAGCTCTTGTATCTCCTCGTTTTGTCATTAGTATCTAGTGCATCAAATCTGTTATTGAGATGGTCTCTAAATTCAAGATAATTTGTTGGCTCTTGGACTTGTTTTGATGTTCTCCAACTTCAGTCTGAACCTGCATATTATCAATTGATGGACTGATCCACAGTGTACCCTGGCCTTCTTTGGCTGATGATATTGAGCCAAATTGCTTTTCCCACAGATATGCACAGTTTGATTCCTGTGTGTCTCATCTGGTGATGGTCATGTGTATAATCACCTTTTAGGTTGGTGAAAAAGGCATTTGCAATGAATAAGTCACTGATCTCTAAAAATTCTATTATGATATCATTTCTATCACCTAGGCCATATATTCCAACTACTGATCCTTACTTTTTGTTTCCAACCTTTATATTGCAATCACCAATTGTTATCAAAGTATCTTATTGACTTGTTTGATCAATTTCAGACTGAAGAAGTTAGTAGATTTTTTCAGTTTCATCGTCAGTGACATTAGTGACTGGTACATAAATTTGAGTAATAATGGTACTAACTGGTCTTCCCTACAGGTGTATGGGTATATTCTATCATAGACAGCATTGTATTTCAAGATACATCTTGAACTGGTCTTTTTATGATGAATGTTAGGCCATTCCTCTTGAATTTGTCATTCCGGAACAGTAAACCATATGACTGTTGGATTCAAAATAACCAATACTAGTCCATTTTGGCTCAGTAATGTCTATGAAATCAATCTTTATGCATTCCATTTTATTTTTGACAACTCCCAATTTTCCTAGTTTCATACTTCGAACATTCCATGTTCTGGTTATTAATGGATGTTTGCAGCTGTTTCTCCTAATTTTGAGTTGTACCCAATCAGCAAATGAAGGTCCCCAAAGTTTTATTCCATTCATGTCATTATGGTCAACTCTACTTTGAGGGGGCACCTCTTCCCCAGTCATATTTTGAGTGCCTTCCAACTTCAGGGGATCATATTCTGGCCCTATATCTAATATATTCTGGTTCTATTCATAATGTTTTCATCTTCCAGCACTATATCTGACAGTGTTCTGCTGTTATTCGTAATGTTTTCAGTGACTAAACATTCATAAGTACTCTGTATCTCCTTCTTCCTACTCTGTCCTAGTCTGGAAGCTCTTCTGAAACCTGCCCACCATGGATGACCTGCTTGTATTTTAATTACTGGTGGCATAACTTCCATTATCCCAGCAACACACAAATCACCACATAATGACAAGCTGACAGACAAGCTGGTCATAGAGATTACATCCTTGGAAACCTAATGAAGGCATTTCTACTGTGTCTTATAATGCTTTTATTATCTGGAACCCAATAGATGGAGTCCTGATGTGGCATTGTAGAAAAGATCACTGGACCACAAGGTCAATTTGAACCATAAAGATGACAGTTCAAACTCAGCAGCCACTTCTCAGAAACCCTCCACAGGGTTGATATGAGTCAGAACCAATCCAATTGAACTTAACAAACAAAAATGACAGTGGTTTTTTAAATGCATTTCTGCCCTAATTCACAATGTCTGGGTTTTATTTTTCTTTTCCAAATATTCCAGAATTAGTCTTGCTTGTTGCCATTTTTATTCCAATGTCATTTATCCCTCCACTGAACTACTACTGTTTCTAGCTGACATTCATATTTTCATTGTCATTTTCTTTGCTTTTAAAGATGCTGAGTCTTTTATCTTCCTTTGTCGATGTCAGTTTTCTCAGGACCTTATTTTTATGATTTTATTATAATTTTAACAACAACAACAAATGATAATTTTGTATTTGTAGGAAATGCATATTTTTTCTGTAACAAAATCAATGTAAGTGAAACACAATTATTATCAGTATTTAAATGGGTCATAATGCATTAAAATCAATTACTTCTTTAAGCATTTTAATCTAACCATTTATTAGAACAACATTCTAGGCTTTTTCCCAGCACAGATTTTACTTAACATTCTGTTCTCTTCCTATTTCTTGAGCCAATTAATTTATACTGTTAAAGTATAAGTTCCAAAAACGTAAAATCATGATTCTCAAACAAATATGACATAAGCGTGTGTTAAAGATTTTATCCAACTCATTAATATTTGATGAAAACAGTGAGCTGTTAAGACCAGGTTAATGCTATTTAAATATGGAAATGTTAAGATAAAATAGATAGGTTAGACAGAAAATTGGTTAGTTTCTTACATATTAAGTAATAACCTTTGGGAATATTTTTTACCACACAGAAGTTATTTGCATTTCTCAAAAAGTTATTTACAAGTCTACAAGTTAATAAGTTGGTATTGATGAATGAGTCAAATGAAATCCATGTCCTTAATATTCCTGTGGCCCTGTGTCTTATATGACATTGAAAGAGCATATTGCACACATCTATCTAACTTGTGGATAACTTTTAAAATAAGAATTCCATTCTCTTAGATTGGGCTAGGATTTCTTTTGGGTATAGGACATGCTCAAGAATAACTGATGAGGTGAATTTTTTATTATAATTTATAAATGTTATATTCCAATATTAAATAATTGCTCAATTTTGTGAATCTTTAATATTGCATTTTTGAGAAGTGTAAATTGCTGTACTTTGGGCTAAGTTAAAGACAAAGGAAATTTTTAGATGCTTAATAGATTTGATGGCACTTAACAACAACAACAACAACAATAGATTTGAAGTAATTTGCTATAGGATAAACTCTGTAATGTTTTGTATTCCTTAGGGTTTTCCAGGAGATATTGGGATTCCTGGACAAAACGGCCCCGAAGGACCAAAGGTAAAAAGAAAAAACAAAACAAAACACTTTACTAAAGAAGTATAATATTTAGTCTTCTCTAATTTCGAATCCCAATGAGTGGGGAAATTTTTATATATATAAATATCAGAACAGCTGTTTCTGGTACATTTAATAAACTTCATGCAGCTTGTTTCAAGATGACCAGAAAGTAGTTTACATGTCTGGTTAGTTCTTGGTGCTCTTTGTTCTTTGTTGTTAAGTGCTGTGGAGTCAGTTCTGACTCAGCCACCCTTTATAGGATTTCCAAGGAATCGCCTTCAGGTAATTAAAAATGATTTTTATGGTTTAATATGGACTTGGATTAGGGTGGCAGTATTTGCAAAGCAAGTTAATCACTCAGAAAGTAGTTACTACAAGAACTTTAAGAATCTTTTAGAAGCCATGTTGTTGTTCTGTTCTTAAGTGTGTTTGAGTCAGTTCCAACTCATTGCAACCCTCTATAGGATTTCAAAAGAGCAGCTGGTGGGTTGGAACTGCCAATAGTGTACAATAAATGGGTGAGATTTTTGTTGCCAGTAAAATCCTTTAAACCCATTGTCCTTGAGTTGATTCTTATTCATGGCAACTCTTGAGGGTCCCACAAAATATCCAGTGATTAAAATAGTCTTAGGAAGCCCAGGAACTTCTGTTATTTTTGTTGTCAAGGACCTTCTGGATGCTATTAAAATCTATTAAAATAGTCTCATGGTATAATAATTGTGTGTGGCGCCAACCATACCTTCCACAAGTGTCTTTACTTCTCAGTTGGGGTCAATGATTTGTTGCAATGACCACACAGAACTCAAACAACATACTGACAATTATGAGGTTTATTAGAGAAAGCTAATAGGTTACAATACAGGATCGTAAAATGTTCAGGGTACACTTTTGCAGTCATCTGCTGATAAATGCCCACAGAACACATCACTCCATCATAAGCCTTATCCTGAAGACACTCGGCTCCAGCTCAGTGGTTCAGAAAACCTAGATCCTCCACTTAAGTGCCTGGGGACACCCCACTCTACAAATAAGTGTCCTGTTCAATGTCACTCAACTTTACTTGCTTTGTGGGCTGGGAAATCCACTGCTCTGTCTTGTGCTCTGGTTCTTGGTTCTGCTGCTGCTGTTCCTCTGCCAGTCTTCTGTACCACAGTTTTCTGTCCCTGGGTTGAGGCGGTCCACAGCAGAATCATGTTGTCCTATTTAATAGATATTCCCATCTTCACTTACTCAGACCCAGCAAAGCAGAAATGGAATTTGGTGGGAGTTTCAGACTGTCTAGAAGAGACATTAGATAATCCATTACATCACACACGGTATCCAGGAACTGCTCTTGTTGTTAGGGCCATCGAGTCAGTTCCAACTCGTAGCGAACCTGCGTAGGGTTTCTGAGCAGCAGCTGGTGGGTTTGAACTGCCAAACTTTTAGTTAGCAGTCAAGTGCTTATCCTAGAGCACCACACTGGGACCACCTATAAAATATTCAGTGATTGTTATAGTCACATGGCATTAAGAAACTGCTGTATAGCACAAAATAGCTGAAGAAATCTAAGCAGTTTGAACTGTCTTCGCTGTTGTTGTATGTCTATAGGAGGAGTTATCCATAGCAAAATCTCGAATGTGAAGTTTTGCCAACCAGGTTTCTATAGAATGAACACTATAAGCAAATAAAGACCAGGAACGGTGAGATAGCCTGAAGTTTGGAGCATTGGCAAGATATGAAGTGCAGCTGGTATAGGAAGTATTGTGAATAGAGAGACAATGATAGACAATAAGACAAAACTGGAAAGAAAATTAATAATAGCTATGATGCTGTAAAAGGAGCTTTGGTAGCGTAGTGGTTACAAGTCAGGCTGCCAACCTCAAGGTCAGCAGTTCAAAACTACCAGCAGTTCCGTGGGAGAAACATGAGGCATTCTGCTCCGTAAAGATTTACAGCCTCGGAAACCCTGTGCAGGGTCGCTATTAGTTGGAACTGACTCCACAGTACTTAACAACAACAACAATAACGTGATGCTGTAAGATAAGCACTTGACCATAGGTGGGTTTCAACCTCAAGGTCAGTGGTTCAAACTCACCAGCTGCTCCTCAGAAACCCTATACAGGGTGGCTATGAGTTGGAACTGACTCAACTACACTTAACAACAACAATATTTGTTAGAAGCCTTATTTGTTATCATTTAATCCCTGGTAGTACAGCGGTTAAGACACTCAACTGCTAACCAAAAGTTTGGCAGTTCAAACCCACCAGATGCTATGCCGAAGATAGATATGGCAGGCTGTTTTCATCAAGATTTGATGCCTTGGGTCCCGGTGGGGCAGTTCTGACTTGATGGAAGTGCATTTATATGTGTACATTCACTCTAATGCCTCATACCATTGTTGGTGTTAGTTGCTATCAGATAGGCGCCAACTCATAGCAACCTCATACATAGCAGACGGGAAATTGCCCATTCCCAAACCGTCTTTCAGTACTACATCAAACTATTCCCTGAGCAGCAGCTGATGGGTTTGAACTGCTAACCTTTCAGTTAGCAGTTGAGTGCTTATCCTAGAGTGCCACACCAGGACCACCTGTAAAATACCCAGTGACTGATACATTCGCATGGTATCAAGGAACTGCTGTAATAACTGAAGAAATCTAAACATTTTGAACTGCCTTCACTGTTGTTGTACATCTGTAGGAGGAATTATACATACAAATACCTTAATTCTACTGTGATACATGTGGTTTTCATTGGCTGGCTATTAGAAGGAGGTCACCAGGCCTCCTAATTACTCTGCCTTTCTCTGGAAGCTCTGCTAAAACCTGTTCACTGTGAGTAACCTTACTGGTATTTGAAATAATGATGACATAGCTTCCAGAATCCTAGCAACACACAAGCCACTACCTTACAGCAAGCTGAAAGATGGGTGATAGGTTTAGTTTAGTACTATCTTATATGCTTTATATAAATTATCTTATGTAATCTTCATAACAATATTTTGAGGTAGATACTTTCAAAGTCGAGGAGCTCTGGTACCGTAGTGGTTACGAATCGGGCTGTGAACCTTAAGGTCAGCGGTTCGAAACTACCAGCCGCTCCGCGGGAGAAAGATGAGGCTTTCTACTCCAGTAAAGATTTACACCTTCGGAAACCCTGTACAGGGTCGCTATGGGTTGGAACTGACTCGACGGCACTTAACAACAACAACTTTCAAAGTCAGAAAACTGTTTTGTGGTGTAACCATGATCTAATCCAGATATGGGAGTAAATTGTGAAGAACATTCAGTACAATGTCAGGTAGTTTTTACTTTATCCTTGAGGTACCTTGAAGCAATCAAAGATATTTAACTAATAAAATGTATAAAGTCATTTGTGTTTTAAAGAGATATGGAGATTTAGAAAGGGAATAGAGTGACGGCAGGAAGATGAGCTAGAAAAATCTAGGCAAAAAATGATATTGATTTGACATTTATTTATTTAACAAATATTTATTGATAAGCACTGGACTGCTAACCACAAGATTATTGATGAGCACTGGACTGCTAGCCTACCATTCACTCCTTGGGAACGCTATACAGTGTTGCTATGAGTCAGAACTAACTCCACAGCACTTAACAACAACTTATGCCAACAGCCATTGTTCCATCCGAAAGGTCAGAGGTTCGAGCTCACCAACCACTCCTGGGAAACCCTATACAGGGTGGCTATGGGTCAGAACTGACTCGACGGCACACAGCAACAACATTGTTCCAAGAGCTCCAAACAATTTCTGGTCCCCACCATCAAGAAACTTACAATCTAGAGAAAGATATGTAGCGAAACCTTAATAATAAACACAGGGAATAATATATAATATCTAATGGCATGAAAAAACAGGCTTGGAGGAGTCAGGTTATACTTTATAGAGAAGATTGCTAACATAATGAGTGAATGGAAATTTTCAAAGTGGAGAAGTGGGATATATGATATTCAGGAAAGGGAAACTGCTAAAGAGATGGAGGTACAATATTTAGTGCATATTCATACATAAAAATTACTTGTTTTTATCTGAAATTCAAATTTAACTGTATATCCTAAATTTTTCTAGCATCCATATCTGCCTACTACAAATGTATTCCTTTATGTAGCACATCTTACCTCCTTCCTTTCTGTTTCCACAGAAGTATTTCTCCTCCTGTTCCATCTGCACGTATGTTTTGCTTCGAACCTTCTCCTGACTCCTGAATGACCTCATACCATCAATTATCACCTTCATTCTGATCTTTCCTTTTACTTGAAATTTCCCCTCTTTGCTCTTAAAGCCATTCCCTGTGCCAATGTTGTAATTTAGACCCTCTTAGTTTTTCAGTGGATTAGCACAGTAGCCTTCCAGTTGTTCTTGCCTCTCTTCCTCTCTTTAGTCTGGCATTTCTTCATATATACCTCCATGTTGGTAATGGAACAATCTTTGTAAAGTATAGATAGCATCATGACACTCTTGTACTTTAATCCTCCAGTGATCACTACAGCTTCCAGGTTAAGGCTTGTACTTCTTTACTTTTCACCCAGGATTTTTTTTATGATCTAATCCTCTCTGCTTAATTTTATAGCCAAATCTACCATCACTCTTCTAAAAGCATCATTCACTTCAGCCCATCTGTTTAAAGATGTTCAAATCTCATAGGTCATACATGATTCCCCTTTGTCTGCATATCTCTCTACCTTCCTGTGACTGTCCTCATCCAGTTGATATCTGCATACCATGTTGTACAGGAAACTTTTCCTTATCTTCACAAATCTAATTGAGCTATCCTGTCCAAGAAAAAGCAAGCCTATCAAACACTTACCGTCTTCTATTATAATTGCTGATGTGTTTATCTCTCCATTGTTCAGAATCTTAAGATTTCTGAAAGAAAGATATCACATCTTTTCAAATGTTTACATTCAAAATGACCATAATAATAGCCATCATGAATAATAGGAACTCAGTAAATATGGATTGGATGGATGATAGATTTCATGTCTATATTTAAAA